CTTTTCATACTAACAGGATTCGGAGACGGTTTACCTTCGAGCTAGCTCGTTTTCTGTCGATGCGAACTCGCGATGTGTTCAAACGTCATGGGCTACTGATCGACCAACTTCCACCAGGGCCAATCGGTTGGGATCTCTGCGACAACGATAGTAGTGAGGGTAATTCTTTTGGGAGTGACGAAGACAAAGGAAAGGGAAAGGGAAGAATGGAGGACGAAGACGAGGATGGAGCAGGAAACATGGAGGAGTGGAAGAGAGCAAAGGGTTTGAGCCAGATGACCTTCCCCACAACAAGCGTAGGGCTAGGGAAAAACTGCCCAGAGATACTTTTTGTCAAAATGAGGATCAGAATGATGGTAGCGAAAACAAGGAGGATACTGGTGAAAGTACTCCGAAACGAACTCGAGTACTAGGTATTAGCCTTGGAAGACGGGTGCAGTTTTCTCCTGTTGTTGCTGTTTCTGTTTATGATCCGAAGGATAGTTTGGCCTCCCCCATGCTGCTCCCTCAACGGGGTCACAGTGCATGGTAGATAGAAGTATTTTGTGTTTTCAACCGCACTAAGACTGAAGTCTTTTCATTGGTCGGCCGGTTAGCGCGGTCGATGCTAATAATAAAATCACACACATTTGTGTAGCTGAGATGTGTGTCTTCGTGAAAGAATATGTAGAGAGAGTCGAATTGGCATTCGCATCAAGCGCATTGCGCATTTTTCTAATTTTGGCCCCCTCCCAGGGACCGTGATTTTTTCCCGCTGGCACTGACGTCTTTTAATCGGTCAGCCGGTTAGCGCGGTCGATGCTAATAATAAAAAAAAACACACACACACACACAAGACAGCGGACACACGCAACACAGAGGGTACACGAGCTGCTGCAGACCCGAAGAGTTCTACGCAAAGGCGCACCATGCCTTGTGCGGAAGGTGAACTGTGCCTTCAACAAGACAGGACGCCGCAACCCCCTCATGGCCACCCCTGCAAGAGAAGATGTGGCGGGTGGCTCCACGGCAATTGCGGCAGCGTGTTTGAGGACAACGAGCAGCTCCGCATCTGCAGCACGTATGTCGCCAGGACTAGCAAGCGCAAAGCGACACCAGCTAAGGGTGCTGGGGCGGGACCATCTAAACGCCAGAAGCAAACGAGCGGGGGAAGCAAGACGGGAACGGGTTCTCGTGCGCGGCTGGACAACAACAAGAAGCTCGAGATTCTGAAGATGCTGGATCAGAAGGTGTCTCACGCACAGATTGCAGACCGCTTCAAGTGCTCTCTTCGGTTTATTGGGACCGTGAAGGCTGGCCGGCAAAAGGTGGAGACAGCAGCTGCTGCAGGCTGCGGCAGCCAGAAAACTGCACGCAAAGTAGATTTTTCGGAGGTGCGCTACATGCAATGCTGTGACGTTGAGTTATTTCCCCCGCCATTGTTTTTGCCGGCCTTGTTTTTTTCAAGCCTGGTTCGTTCGCTGCTGGATGTCCATTTTTTTTTCCGTCTTTCTTTCTCCTTTGGTTTGTTGTCTTCTTTCGGCTTTTTTCCTTCCATTTTTTCGTCTCTCGTTTTTCTTCTTTCTCCGCTTTCATCGTTCATTCGTTCCTTGTGCTCTCGCACACACCCTCTTTTCAATTTTACACCAGTAAATTACTACAGCACCGCAGCGCTTCTTGTTTGTACCTGCTGCATTTTTGTCCAAGTGTACTTCACACTAGTGCACAATTGGGAACAATACTCGAACGAGTGAGCTTAGTGTAACATGTGATATCGCTGCTTTAAATGTGAAGCTCGCGCAAGTGCGCATGGCTTTGGTGGTACATTACGTGGGTAAGGTTGTATGGATAGGTTTTATTTTTCGACTGAATACTCCCGCAACCGCAAATCTCCTTGTTTCTTTGCTAAAAAAAGGCCCTCTCTCGCATCCCTATGTGTCATTGTTTGTCACTGGGTTCGTCTAACATCGCTTCTCCACCCAAACACGGGTGCATCGCAATTTCTGCGCTACCTGGCCAGGTGCTTTGTCAAAGCCGAGACGCTTTCGGAGGAGATGGCGGCTGAGCTCACCAAGCAACACGGAAAGACCCGGTTCAACGTCGCCGAGCCTGACCTGAAGGTTCTCGCAGAGACTGTCAACACGTTGAGCACGAGCGTGCAGGACGCGCAGAAGCAGGGATCCCGCGTCGTGGACGAGGAGATCAGCGAACTGTTGGCAGAACTAAACATCGAACCCGGAAAGCCGGTCGCGGGGGAAGCGGTGGCCGCGATTCAGGGGCTACGATCGAGGACGACGAGGAGGTGGTAGAGGCTCTTCGATTGGACGTGGTGGAAGACATGACAGCACTGCTGGCTGGAACGAACTTGTCTACCGGCGGCGACGACGAGGAGGACGAACAGGACCAGGGCGGCGGCGGTGAGAACACGGGGCGCGGTGGCCGTGCCCCACGTGCGCCACCGGGTTATGAAGAACGGTCGTCTCACTTCGGCGCCCTGGAAGTGGCAGCGGAGGACAGTGGCAACGGAGACGCGGCGTTCTACCTAACGAAAGCGAAGATGTCGATGATCGCAGCGCATTCCGCTAGGCGGGTGCGCCAGACAGATGTTAGAGGATTTGTCGCGACGTAGAGTTCATGGTTGTTTCTTTTTGTTGCGGTTCGCTTCCTGTCGTGTACGTAGAGTTTTTTTTTTCTTCTTGCAACATCGAAGCGGGTACGCCAGGTAGACACTCCAGGGTCGCGACGTAGTTTGGGGGGGAGATACAACTGTAGTGCAGTAGTATTGGTTTTTGTTTTCTTGCAGTGCGCTTCCTGTCGTGTACGTAGAGTTTTTTTTTTCTTCTTGCAACATCGAAGCGGGTACGCCAGGTAGACACTCCAGGGTCGCGACGTAGTTTGGGGGGGAGATACAACTGTAGTGCAGTAGTATTGGTTTTTGTTTTCTTGCAGTGCGCTTCCTGTCGTGTTTGTTTTTCTGTTTTGTCTTTTGTATCTTGCAACATAGAAGGAGGGGCTCTGGGGCTGAGATATAGCTACGTCCACTCTGTACGAACGGGAGCTCTACAAGCATCTTGCCGTCAACAGCAGTTTCGACAGTTCAGGGTGTGCAGTACAGTTCATGTGCTGAGGCAGGCAGAATATAACGGTGCAACATGCAAGTAATATTTTTTACAACTCGCCCTCTGTGTGTGCGACAGGGGGGAACCATACTTGTCGCGAAAAAGGATGCCTACGCCCACGATAGACCTTCACTAAGTTTGATCCATTTCGTACTCTGTTAGCCCCGCAACGCATGAGCGCCACAGCATGAAATCAAACATCTCCTCAATAGCTATTGAGGGATATTCGAAACCTCAATGGTGCCGAATCGGCACTATTGAGGCACTATTCTGATTAGTGCCGGTGCCCTCAATAGTGCCGATATTATCTCTGGGCACATACCGGCACCATAGCGGGCCCAGTACTGTATTGTACTCCTTTCACTTTTTCATAATGCATTCAGAATGGCTTCAAGACGTAACCTTTATCGTTTTTCACAGAAGGCTGTAAACATTTTTTTTATCATCTTGTCAGCCAGCAACGAAAGAATTGAACTCAGACCTACTTTTATTGTACGTACAACAGAGACACCGTGGCAGTCGGCCCATTCAACACGCGAAAATTTGGTGTTTGCCCTGTAACACAACCCTACATATTGTCCCATGATGTGTTTTGACATGGATCACCTCGGCACCCGGCAGTACTTTGCTCAAAGGGCCCAGCCCATCTCATGTTTGTTGTCGTCCCATCAATCCTGTCGGTGTCGCGCCTCTCAACGAGTGCGCAGTGGAACAGGCGTTGTTCCATCTCATCTTCGGCTCCGCCATGCTCGTCTTGGGAACGATGGTGCTGTTCAAAATGTTTCAGTATCGCAACGTGCTGGAGATCCGCGCCAGGTGCGACTGGTACTCTCTTCTCTTTCGGTCACCGTCGGCGCCATGGCTGTACGATTGTTTTTATTATACTGTCTCGTCTCTCATCCCCCCCGTTGTACATATCCTCCCCAGTTTTCCTTCTCTATTTCTCGCCCAAGCGCCCACGTCATGCGTCACCTGTGACTTTTGTACATGCTCTATATGGCTCGGCGTGCTGCATGGCTTACGTGCTCTCAGCATGTGCAACTTTGCTGTTGTACGTATGTTGTATTGCTTGAAGAGGTAAGCTACATAGCTGCCTCCTACTTGTCGGATTGTCTCCGAAGAATCCTCGTGTTTGTTCGTTGTCGTGGCCATGTGCAAGCGCGAAGCAAGCTTTTTCAGGCTACACAACTAGAGAAGAAAACACCATCTCCAATGGTGTGTTGGCGTCTACTTCTCTTTACGTAAGCACTCTTTAGACACTGTTCGACTACTTTTCTGGTTCATCCTGAAAACATCCTTGACGTGCGGGAACGCTCGGATGTCCATCTACCTTTGGGAGTTCCCTTTCCTTCAGCGGTAGCAAGCCATTCCGAACCCATGCGTCATACCCTCCTGCCCATCGTGCTGTCTTAAAAACCTCCCGTGGCCCTCGATCACAGAGATTGGGAGACAATCGCTCTTTCGCCCGCTATGTAGAAACCTCACGTAGGCTGCCTGTCAACTCACCGGGGTGGATTTCCCTCCTCGTTTATCTTCAAACTCTCATCAGGTCGGCCTACGTGGTGATGACCTTAGGGTTGTGCCTACTGGCCGCTTTGACCCTAGACGTGCACGTGATGTGCAGGACTCTGTTGGGCTGGCCTTCAAACGTGTTCCTTGTTCATTCGGTAAGTATTTCATCGCATTTCATCGCGACAGAGCGCGCGGGCGTCCACAAGCTTGGGTTGTGTTCGCATGTGGGGCACTTATTTTGCCTGTGGGAAAGAGCTCCTAAGGGATTTGGTCTCGAGTTCTCAGAGTTCGTGTTTGCACTGAACCTTCCCTATCGACTCTGGTTTGGTTGCGGGGGCGACGGACGGCTATGTTTACGGTTTGTGTCTACCCTCTACCTTACTCCATGTACCTGCGGCCTTCACGCCACCTTGTTTCCTGAGAATGCCAACGTGGTGAACCTCGAACCGTGTCAAATGTTTTCGTGGATCCGCTCTGGAGGTCCGTGCTACATCTAGCCTTTCGGAGCTGTAGTGCTCGGTCCCACAGGTTTGGGCGTATCTCGAAAGAGTTGTGTATCGAGAGAGTGTGTTTCCCGACCCACGGGTACCGTGCCAAGGTTTCAAGCCAATCAGAGCAGGTGCCGATTCTGTCATTTTCTTCGACGGGAAAATAAACAGCCTGCATTCTAGGGGGGCGATGGGTTCGCCTTCCAATAATTGTCCTACCCGTCTGGCGTGCTGTGTAGTCTTCGTTTTCGTTACTATCCCTGCCCTATTTAGTATTCTACGCTCTTTGCTCTTCGCGTGCTTCTTCGCGCCTCGCCCCTAAACTCAGGGCTACTTCTTCATTATATTTTCGATAGAGAGCTGCTACATCTGGCGTGTTATCCGCCTTGGCGTGTCCTTCAGCCCCCGGGTGAAGAGGTTCATTCCATGGGTGATGTCGGTAAGAAGGCAGCAATACTCGCGATGTGCGCACTGTGTCTAGCAGGCAAGATGGCTTGGTGCTACCCGAAAGAGACTGAAGTCAACCCATTTGCGCGATCAAGTAGGCAGAGTTTGCTCGAGTCGAACTCGCGGTGAATCCCACGCCTTAATCAACGCACGACATGTATCAGTACAGGGGGAAAGGGTTGATGGTTCTCGCATGAAACGCAACGACGGGATGACCGGTTGGTTGTGAGTCCGCTCCAGTGCCCCCCCGCTTGCCTCAGTAGGTCGAAATGTTTTCCATCTGTCGTCGGTGTTTGTCTGCACAGGAGAAGCTTGCCGTGGTTTCGAGCCTCAGCATCGGCACACTATCAACTGCCATCCCAACTTACTACTACGTCGAATATGGGGGAGGCGACGACCATGAGTGAGGAAAAAATAGCATCGATTCTTGGGTACTAAGCTCTCTAGATTTGTGTCATCTTGTTTTCCCCTATCACCTCCTGAGACGAGAAGCGAGGGGCTTCAGAGTCTAGGTGGGGGCACCCCTGGCCGTCATTTGGCATTTGCCACCGCGGTCCTCTGTTCTGCCACAGCAGTCGCTCCGCATGCGGCTCCACGCAGTCCATTATGCGCTCGAAAGACGTGTCGCGAAGGCTCATCGTTCAGGATTACGGTGCGATGACAACACGAACAAGAAGGGTTGAATTGCTGTTTGGAGCGTTACGAACACCCACACCGTTAGGGTGGCGTGTGCAAAAAGGACAACTAAAACAGCAGAAACCGAAGCCTTCCTCTTAGTTGTTCTGCCGGCGTTCGTTCACGAGACCCCGCGAGTTTGGTCCGTGAACTCTTCGTGTTTTGCGTAGCAACAGCACAAGAACAAGGCTAGAAGTGGTGACACACAACCGTGTGAGACGGAAGGCGCCCCTCCTGCACACGCAACCACGGCAATGAAGCTTGAAGACGCGCAGCTAAGCGTACGGCAACAGGTTACACGCTACCGGTCTCGTTACGCCGTTCGCGAATGCACGTACCCCTACATGTCCACACTAGCCGCTTCCTCGCGGTGGAGCTGGAGGCCATGTGGGTGTGCCATGTCGCCCTCATCAGCATGCAGCTGTGTTTGCTTCCAGTGGTGTGGTGAGCAATAAGCAACAATAGATAGCACAAGCAGCGAAAAGCGTGAACGTTTTCTCCCTGATTGTAAGCTCTCGTTTACCCTCGTTCTTACGAGTGCTCGTCCGTTGGGGAAATCCTAATTGTTGTCACCCATCCTTGCGGTGTTCATGCCTCAGGTCAGAGCATGCGCAGGAGAGCAACCGTTCGTGCAAGCTCGCCCTCCGAAACAAAGAAAAAACTTGCGTGGCCTTGATGCAGGAACAACCGAAGCTGACCGAGGTTTCGCTCAAAGTTTTTCACTCTTTTCCAAGATCGTTCGCGAGAAAATGCTTTGCGTACCTTCCCACCCGCCTAAAATCTTCACTGTGCCGTATGATATGTGCGAACAGGTTGGTGGACGATATCTTCAGGATTTCTTGGGAGCTCTGCATCGCAGCTATGTTTGGTGTCATCGACATAGGTACGATCAATAATCGCTTTTCTCGTTTCGGATAATTCGTTCGACGCCGGTGCTGCTGCATGGCGGTCCTGACTTTGGGCGACGAACGTGCCACGATTATTGGCGAGCGCGCTCGCCATGATCTCCGCTAGATATCCATCCGTATTTCACTTGATTGACCTTGCTACGGAGGTGATTTGGCGACTCGCCAACCCTACGTCTTTCGCGATACCACCACCGCTCCTCTTCTCCCTTTCCACGTCTCCGAATTGCTCGCTGGGGCTACCGTACCACGACCACTACCAACACCAACACCAACACCAACACCAACGACCCTCCAGTGGTGGTTCGGCTAACGGAGACAAACTACCTTTCCGGTGGGGTCAAGGTGAGCGGCGCAATGACACGGAGAGATTACTCACAACTCCATCATATTCTCGCCCGCTCACCCACGCCGTAGGCTGGTGCTCCTGTGTTGTGTTTTCTGCCGATCTTTCTCGGAATTGCATTCTCGCGAAGCGCGAGACTCAGGGTTTCCACTGGACACGCTTTCTTGGTGTGCTTTCACGCACGTTTAGGTCCTTCGTTATTATGCGTTCTGGACATCTGTCGGTGGACGCCATTCATTGGCATGCGTTCGGCTTCCAGGCCTTTGCCACACAGAGCAAGCAACCTCTGGAGTTGTTCTGCGCCTTAAGTACTGTGTTCTCGACATGCCAACGCTGCTCCTCTTCATTAACAATTGACCATGTTGCATGTTGCATGGAATGACACCAAGAAGAGTGTTCCAGATGTTTCGATGCGATATCGATACCTTTGCAACAAGCCAGCGGTTCGCGGTACAGCCGTGGTCCCGATAGAAGAGGGTTGAAATCGGTAACAAGGGGCTCCAAGAGGGTTGAAATCGGTTGTCACGGATCTTCACATCGAGCAGGCAGCGAGGGACGGAAGGGGCAGTGGGAGAAGGGCAGGCGGCTAGACCACCAAAACGACCCGCAATGGCAAGTTTATGTACCTTCTTACATACTCCGGTTAAGAGGGGGCTCCGATACAAGATGGCCAAGGGCCTTCGACACCACCCTCTTCATCGGAGCCACGACGGTAGTCTCGGGGTGCTTGCCGAACAGAATCCTGTTGAATGTCGCGAGGGGGTCGACCATTTTGATGCAAGCATTGGGCGAGACGACGCCTGGATCCGCGATCGACTCATCATGTGTCCGTAAAGTTTGCAGGGCGCGGGAGGGGCAGCGATCCCTTCTCGTTGCATTTGCCGAGGTTGTTTCATCGAATCGAAGCCAACGCTCCATTCTTGAACAAAAAACTTGCAACCATCCTCTCGTGAGGAAGGGACCATGGCTACGGCAGACAAGAACGCGTTGCAAAGCTCTCCTTTTGGTTCGATGTCTTTCTCGATGAGCTTCTACCTCGTGCTCTGATCACAGCCACGCCGTGGGAAGCTTCAGCCACGTTACCGGTCTCGATTCTATGTCCTACCGTCCTTGGCGCAATTTTCAAGTTCGGGTAATTGTCTCGCGCCGCTTACCTAACACGCCTCGTGCTCTCGCCGTCGCTGAAACAACAGGAGTACATCAACAGCCACAACATTGGCTTGTTTTGGACAGTTGTGCTCTTCGGTCTCAGGTAACAATCATAACTCCTCCCCCCGACTTCTCCACTAAGGTGTTTCGCGCAGTAGCACATGAAGAGACTTAGTTGGAACACCGAAAACGCACGGAAATACCGCTCCTGAACGAGGACTGTGCTTTTGTGTTAACTAGGGTTAGAAAAGTGGCGACCGGAAAATGGCGATGCCGTTGCGCCGCGAACTACGGTAGGTGTAGTGTTGTTTGGGTGTAGATTGAAAACACCCACGTGATGATCGATCTTTGTTGCTCGCCATACGGAGAAGCAGTGTAGTCCATTTCTTGGCCAAGGCCGAGGGCTATCTCATCACTGTCTGCTTTAAAGCTTAGCCTTGTTGCCGGTTGCTGTGGCCAAGAGCCTCCTCTTCGCCGCGATCGATGCCTTTGGGTTAGAGGGTAAGATACTTTGCTCTTCGGCGTCTCCCTCTTCACCTCATTAACTTATTTTCCCCTCGTTTTGGCAGCGTGGTGGACCCAGTGCGACGAGTGATGTTTCACCCCATCGCGCGACCGATCGTCGTTCGCAGAGAACAAATCAGGGTCCCCAAGAGAAATGGTTCACGGTGAGTCTCGACTGCTCTGCCTATTCGGTTGTCTATTCGGGCACCATGTTGTACTGTCCCCAGCAAATGACACTGGAAACGTCCCATAGATTGATTGGGGCAATGCCATGAACGGGAAGTGTGATTGCACGTATTCTCTTACAACGACTCAAGAACTCTGGCAGTATTAGCTTCCGTGTGCAATGAATTGCCGCCCCCCTCCTGCTTCCCCTCTCTCCCCCGGTGTTTACCTTCGGGGTTGGGTTTTTGTCGCTTGGCAAAGGCGTTGTAAAACAAGCCGATCACTTCGTGAGCTCGGCAACCAGGTTTCTGTTTTTTATTTGCCTTTGTATCTTTTTTTGGGGGGTAACCACTATGATGGCCGAGTAGATTGTGTTGTGCCTGGTCGAGAACCCTCACTCCGTGCAAAGGCGATGATCGCACCACGCTGTGCTCAATTGGTCTAGCGCCCTCGAGGCAGTAAGTAGTGCTAATAACCGTCTATGGAAGTGAAAGCACCAATAAATAGGTTGAAGTCATTCGCGGCTGTCATTCGTACGCAAGGGAGTAAGCACAAGATGCCGGACACCCTTAGCAGGATGCAGCGCACCCTTCATGCGGCTCGCTGAATACCTCACGGCGCTTCGCGCTTGGTGATGTGAGAACCTGGTCTGATGAGAGCCCGGCGTCCGCTCCGAACCGGCTTTGTAGGGATGCGAGGTCAATGAATTGACGACTGACTGCGGCATTGCACGACTATGAGTACACCCCCCTCCTGCTTCCCAGACACCAAATACGCCCGCCCAATGAAAGGCAGCCGAGCTAAAGACATTTCCAGCGATGCATTCGGCTTTCAGAAGCACCGCGCCTGGATATCGCCGCCGGATGTTGCGCTGCTGTCACGTCCACTGTTACTGTCGGTGTGAAAGCGATGCCGGGGCAAGGTCAAGAGTTGTTGGGCAAGGTGACTTTTTTACCAGGGGCGTGCGAGACTTGACTGTTTTTCTTACTTCCCACGACGTGGAATCTGCTACCCCCCCTTCAAGGATCTTTGCCCTACCGTAGGCCAGTGTGGGGACATCGCAATAGTCGTGACCGTGTCCAGTAGCTCGGAGCCCTATCCCTCTCCCCGCGGAGCCAACTGCAGCCATGCCAACAAACATCGCATACCCGCTCCCATCCAACCAAACCCCAAACTGATCCTACCAGCAAAACGGGCATGGTTCGTGCGAACTCTGGCAGTGAGACAGAACTCTCCGTCCGCAGCAATACAAGCAGTCAGGACGAAAGCCGCTTGTCCGACTGCGACGAAACGGCTTCCACGGTTCGGACAAAGTGGAGCTACGACACGATGGCCAAGGTGCCAGAGGTGGCTGAGGCCTTCCGGGGATTCGCGCACCGGGCGCTGTGCCAGGAGTCCATCATGTTTCTGGAGGAAGTCACCAAGTGAGATACAGAGGATGGTTGTAGCTTCTGCAAGGTAAAATGACAGCAGCGGTCAGTGCTTGTTTGCGACAATGGTTGTAGGATGCTCAGAACTCCACCCGTAAGAGATGAAGCTACCTACTGCGGTAGCGAGGCGTTGGTTGAAAAATGGAACTTATGGTGTTGAAGGTCGGATTTATCGTTGCCGCATCTGATATCGAAATGGTCACCAGGAAGGCGCCGTAAGCGAGTGTTTTTTTCGAGGTTTACATTATGCATCTACTGTAGTTCGCTGGGCTAGGCGCCTGGACTGTAGACAGGTCACCACTCAACTGTCCCTCGGGTACTTCGATGGCCTCTACCTCTACTTCATGGTCTAGCCCGCCAAAGGATGCAAACTACTGTAACTAACTTACGTCGGAGGGGATGTAGGAATGCCAATCGCGTGTTTGAAGATTTTGCCGGTAGATGCATGTGCTGTGCCAGGTATTTTATTAGCCTTGTCATCGGAGATGGTACGGGGACAATGAGGCTTACTTGACGAACAGTGCACTATTTGCAGCTTGACAGTTTCTTCCGCAGCCGAAACATATTGTCAGCCACATTTTCCCTGTTCTACGTCGTTCGTTGTGCGCCAACTCGAAGCAGGTAACCGAAATGAGAGTAGATGGAGGCATGCTTTGCTAAAACCGGCCCTTCCTCTTGTCTGCCAGCAATATTTTACCCAGCATGCCCGTTGGTTGTTCCACGTTGGCGTGCAGGTCGATTCGACCGAATCTAACTCGTTGGTTGCATGATTTTTGCTTTGATCGTTGCCCCAGGTACGAAAGCGGGGACTACAGCATTGCGAAGCCCATAGCCAGCCAGTTCGCGGCGTTCAACGCGATAGTCAAGCGCTTTGTAGTCGACGGGGCGCTGGATGAGATCAACATCGGGTGAGGCTGCAGGCGGGAAAACACGAGATGATGGTGAAGCGAGAATCGTTCTCGAAGAGATAAGAAGGAAAAACAATACTCCTGGAGTATGAATGATCAGTAGCGTGCTGTATTGCATCGAAGAGAGCAGGAAATATTGTTCCGCCCGCCGGGGCATGAGAAGTGTGCCGAGCATCATGCGGAGTTACTTGGCCGCCGCCGAAGCACCGAGGCTCTTGCTCATTTCGGCAGCGACGAAAACATCGTCTCGAGACCACCCGTGATTGCAGAAAAACTTACGAGGATAAATGCCTGGGCTTCCCCTTACTGACGCCGCCCCTGATACATTATGCCCCCTCAAGACTCCCTCTCCCTGTCGCCGGCGCCCGTGTGACGACACAGCGGTACGGACAAGGAGCGCATCCTGAAAATTTTCCAGTCCGGTTCCACCGCGTTTTTCGAAATGAACGAAGCGGGGCGAAGGTCGGTGAATCCCGAGGACGACTGCATCATCACGCCTCGCTTTATTAGTCTATACTGAAGTATGATTTTATTTTTTTTCTTACAGACAACACAACAAATCCTTCGATAAATTAGCAATGACTTTAGACTACAGTGATGCACGGTGACCAACTAATATTTCTACGGTTCCTGAACAGCATTCTCCCTGTGTTTGTTATTTAAGCAACCGTAATGAAGGGGTCGGGGTTTCTTGCATGGTCCGTGGTTTGAACCTTATGCTTGCAAGGGCTCTCCCCCGCGAATCGTTTCTTCCTCGCCTCGTCGTGCACGAACTTCGGCGCCTGCTGTCCAACGTTTCTGTCACGTGGCCCCTCTCTCGCTATCCGTTCTTGTACGTGCGTACACGACAGCGAGTCAATCCCCTTTCTCCCAGCATCTGCTGATGACTTGTCTATTTGTTGCCCTGTCCCGTGCGACACCTACCGCTGCCATGCTTTTTTCACTTTTGCCATTGCGTCTCCGCGTCCAGGCTGGTGCTGAACAAGGCATACATCGAGATCAGGGACATGCTGGAGACGAATCTCTTGCATCGGTTTCTTCACACGGAAGCATTTAGAACGCTCTTAGCGGGGGCCGACCCTAATCCCGGACCCTTTCCCGCGCGCGGCGGGCCCTAACACCAGCGGGAACATGCTGGCGTCGGAACCGGAACGGCCGATTCTTGTGAAGATGACATCAACCACAGCGACAACAGCACCGACAGCGACCTCCACACCATGGGCACGGGTGCGGGGGAGGGCTGTTGTATTTCGTGCTTCCGCATTTTTAATTGTTAGGCCGACCTAGGAGGGAGTGTTCGATTGGTTCGGTATTGCCCTCGAAGGCTTTCTCGCGTGCGACGGGTGGTTTGGAAGGAACCTTCCCACTTACTGTTGTCTCCGGCCGACCTCGTTGTGGCACCCAGGTTGTTTGCTGGGCCGTCCCGAATTCTGTGCGGGGTGGAGTTTGCTCTGTTCTTGAGCCGGCAAGTTTGTACACAGTGTATGAAGACATTAGCACGACAATGAATGTTGGGATTTTGCGTGGGTACCTTATTGTTACTGTAGTCGTCTGCCGGGGGGCGGAGCTTGATACTCGTTCATGTATTATTGTAGAATTCCAGAAGTGGGGCTATGGCGGGGTGTGTCTGTCTTTTTATCCTTAGCATATTTTTAGTATCGACCGCGCTCTGTGTATAGGGATGGGGGAGACGACCCAGGACACTCTCACTGGTTTTCCGGGGTCTCGTTGGAGATACGAAGAGAGCGGCGGCTGAGATTATCACGCTGTACCGCCCGCGAGCTCTGCTGTTTGTTAGAGGCTGAGGTTTTTTTAGGCACGCTCACTTGTTTCCAGGAGCTAGTTGGAAAATCGCACAGCAATCAAGCGGCTATGACCGACGTTGCTACGCTGCACCGACCGCGCCTGTCATTTTACTGTTTACGGCGCTACGGCCATGTGGCAGGCAGCTCATGATCTATTCCCGTTTGTTGCAGAAGTGTGTTCCAAACCGATACTCCAAACCGATACTCAAACGAGAGGAGTGCACCCAACGTGACTGGTGCGTTCATGACAAGGCGCATCGACATCAAAGGTTGAGCTTTCTCTCGTAGCAGTTATCATGGGGAGAACTTCCTTTTTCTCCGTTCAAGCCTGCCGAGAATCTCCCTTCGCGAATAAATGGTAAGAAGCAGTGGACGTGGGGGGTGTCCGATTCTCGCCAAGAAATTAAACAAGCTTCCTCGCGCTGGTAGTGGCTAGTAGCCTTCGCGGGTCTTAATTGACAAGCAACAGTTTGGATAAGATATGGGATCGGTGGAATTGCGGGAGATGCGGTTAGGGCTTGGGTTTACATAACCCCTGCCTCTCTATTTTACACTTCGAAGTAGATGAGTTATATTTCTTCGCGAAAACAGGCCATGTTGGCTGTTGTGTCGGCGCGCAGATTGGATTCAGTTTCGAATGGGAGTTGCAGGTCTGATTTATCTCCCGCTCTTGCGTGAGCGGGGTTAATTGGTGTCGGAACTCATCCATTTTTTTGGTGCTGCGCTCGTGCATGTGACTAGAGTAGAGTTGTTTTTCCCGTTTTTGCGTTACACCCCGCCGGTCTCATTGTAACTTGAATGAGACATTGACCAAGACGTTTTTGTCAGGAAAACCCGAGAGGAGATTGAGGCGTTTTTGCCCTGCATGTCGGACGTGCACGAGAGTATAATGTACGTGCACGTCATGCATGAGTGTTTTAGAGTCTTTACGACCGCTGCAGCATCGCCCACACCCATCCGCTGTTGTGCGTATCGTTTAGCAGAAGTGTATTCGAGAAGAAGAAAAAAAACGATTTGGTTAGTGTTGTGTTTGGCCCATGCATATGCATACCAGCGTCGGGGGCTGAGCGACGGACTCTTCACGTCGTTTGTCCATCGTGACATGAACGAGAAAATGACCCATTGTGGTTCACTGAACGAAAATGCCGATCGTATGACGTGTGGACGCTTCAAAACTGAGAGACACATATGAGCGCCGGCGGATCCACAACGCCAACAAACCTAGCGAGCGTATGTAGGTAGGAATTTAGTCGCAAATTAGGATGGTCCCTGGCAGCGCTTGCCGCTACCACAACCAGCTCTTCCTCACAAACCCTCCGTTTCCCCTCATCCTTCCCTCTGACCTTCTGCTGCAACCCTTAGGTTCGACACGACCTGCTGCAGCAGGCCGAGAAGTGCCGTCAGCTCGCGCGGGGAAGGCGGCAACCCCTCCCGGTCCCCACTGCCTATCGTCGCCGATGTCTCTCGAAACGCCTCCGCGCACAGCCAGTCGTGTCGGCAACGGAGCCCCCCCTCTAAAACCGCGAAGACAGTTGAGTCTGCCCGGTGGCGACCGTCGTTCATGCTGCTGCTACTTACGCTGCTGCTGCTGCTGCTGCTGCTGCTGCTGCTGCTGCTGCTGCTGCTGCTGCTGCTGCTGCTGCTGCTGCTGCTGCTGCTGCTGCTGCTGCTGCTGCTGCTGCTGCTGCTGCTGCTGCTGCTGCTGCTGCTGCTGCTGCTGCTGCTGCTGCTGCTGCTGCTGCTGCTGCTGCTGCTGCTGCTGCTGCTGCTGCTGCTGCTGCTGCTGCTGCTGCTGCTGCTGCTGCTGCTGCTGCTGCTGCTGCTGCTGCTGCTGCTGCTGCTGCTGCTGCTGCTGCTGCTGCTGCTGCTGCTGCTGCTGCTGCTGCTGCTGCTGCTGCTGCTGCTGCTGCTGCTGCTGCTGCTGCTGCTGCTGCTGCTGCTGCTGCTGCTGCTGCTGCTGCTGCTGCTGCTGCTGCTGCTGCTGCTGCTGCTGCTGCTGCTGCTGCTGCTGCTGCTGCTGCTGCTGCTGCTGCTGCTGCTGCTGCTGCTGCTGCTGCTGCTGCTGCGGTTGCCACCACTGCCATCACTTATGTCTCTGTTCTCATCTTCAACAGTGCCTGTGAGCGCATGTCTTGGGAACGGATCTTCTCCCTCTGCCTGCTCCGTTCTATCACGAGGCAAGGGTTCTCCGCACTCTCCGCTGTGTCTGGCAGTTTTCGCCCCAGTCTCTGCGGCGCCTTTAGTCGTGTCGCTTCCACCGGTTTCAATGCTGCTGCTGCTGCCGGCGTCTTTCAATGGCTTGATTGGATCCTTGGAAGAGAGCTCTGCGGCTGCAAGAGATGTTAATGTGCTTCTCGGTGTTGGTGTCTCTGAACCGCCACCGCCGGCGAGAGGAAGGCCGAGCCGTCGAACCAGCTCGTGAGCGTAGCCGTTGGCCTGGTCCTTTTGTGCGTATCGTGCCGTTTTCCGAGCCATTACGGGACAGCGCGAGACATGGGTAAGAG